GTCGTAGTCGAGGGCACAGGCACAGGATCAGAGGACGGTAATCACTGGGGTAGACAAGCAGAGGATTAAGCAATTTGTGGAGTCAAACAACAAGGCACAGGTCGGATACATGGGTAATCAAAAACAACAAACTCTCTCTCTCTCTCTCTCGGAACAAAACGCTTAGCAAGTCACAATGGAACAATACCTCGCGCCGACTGAGCTTCTGAGCACACTTTAAATCCTACACTAATTACTGACAGGTGTGCTCAGAACTCAGGTGAACCCGATCGAGTCTGATGACTCCCCCTCTCTGTAGATCGGGGAAGTGTCAGACTCTGTCTAGACCCTGCCAACCCCCGATCCCTTACAGCGGCTAAAGACATTAGCACATGGAACTCAGAGATAGCCTATAGGCCAATGCAGCAGTAGGCCTATAACTTCCATCGTCAACTAAGTAAAATACATAGGCCTAAGGCCAACAAATAAAAACTGTAGAAAATATCCTGATAAAAATGCAGGTTCTTTCAATCGCATTAATCTCTACTCCGCTTGTCTGCCTCTCTTTCTATTGGTCTTGACTTGAGCTATCACTAGTGAAGTGCAACATTATATCAACTCAGGAGGTTGGTGTGTTCAGCCACAGGTGCTCCCTCAACGTTATCAGCACAGAGAAACCACACATGCTCACTGCTCACAAAAAAATGTAAAGACACAAATGATGGCAGACACAATAGGAGTAGTTATAGCAAGTGCATTGCTGTTGTCTCTACTAAATAACCTGGCAGTGTTCATTCTATTCCTAACAAATAATGAATATGTGGTGGGGAAAAAAGTGCCTGGACTCTCCTGTAAGATAAACATGCTGGTGGGCCAAGGATGCTGCTCTGAAGAAGGTCTTTGGATTCTTTTGCAACCCACAAAATGCTCTGTTTGTGGATGTGATTCTCACCTTGACAGCTATTGAAGAGATGGACAGTCACAATCCAACTGTACGTGTCAAGGCCAGAGCATTAACAGAGGCCCTGCTCAAGGTTTGAGACAATCTTCACTGCCCAAACATTTCTGTGTATATTTGAGGAAACATCCCCTCTCTCCAAGTACCTACAAACCAGTGGCATGGACATCCTGACAGCAGGATGGTATTGGGAACACAAGAGGCTCTGCAAAAGAATGTGAGGGACTTCGATGCTGTGAAGTGGGCCACGGAGAGCTTTGTGCAGTGGGCCACTGACAACCTGCAAGAACAGGATGAAGACCCCAAACAGGAAGTGCAAGCTGAGATGCCTCAGAAAAGAACAAGGAAAGGAAGCCCATGCCTGTGGAGTTTGCTCAGGATGAGACTGAGAGAGATGCAGAGAGGGTCTACAAGACTAAAGGTGCACTTTGTCATCATGGATACAGTCACTGATAGCATCTATCAGCGCTTTATGACACAAGGCACATTGTACACAGACTTTGCTTATCTGGACCCCAGCAGGTTCTCAGAGATAAAATACAATGGATTGCTCCAGACATCATTTGCTAAACTAAGCAAACTCTTGCTTAAATTTGCCAGCCGAGCAGCTGTCAGCACTTTGCAGTGTGAGTTGACCAGTCTTGCCGGTCAATGGGAGAGCGTGAAAACATCAGCAGTGCAGAAGGACACAACCAGGAATGTGAGTGAGATACCAGCGGATGGACATGATGAAGAACAAGTGGAGAGGATGAATAAAAGTTGTTCAACATGTAAGAACTGTGCTGTATGTTGTTATCAACTTCTATGGTGGTACATCTTGTTGACAGAGGCTTACCATGTTATAGGCCTGGGGTACAAGTTCCTACTCACCCTGTCTGTCACCCAGGTAACCTGTGAGAGGAGCTTCTCTACTCTCAAATTCATAAAACATCGACTCAGGAGCACCCTTATCCTACGATCACTTGGAGGCATTATGCTAATGACAACTGAAAAGGAAATCCTTATGGTCCTGGATACAGATGATGTCATTGACAGGGTGGCAGAGAAGAACTGCTGTGATGCCAGCTGACAAAAGGGTAGGGAGGACAGAGAGACAGCAGAGGAGAACAAGAAGAAACAGAGACAGACAGACAGACAGACAGACAGACAGACAGACAGACAGACAGACAGACAGACAGACAGACAGACAGACAGACAGACAGACAGACAGACAGACAGACAGACAGACAGACAGACAGACAGACAGACAGACAGACAGACAGACAGAGGAGAATCACAGACAGACATAGTGACAGACAGCAGAGGAGAATCACAGACAGAGAGACAGTGACAGCAGAGATGCATAGACAGACAGCACGACAGGGAGAAAACAGAATCAGAGGCCCAGTTATAGTGGTGAGTTGTATCTCCAGACTCCAGTGATGTCTTAACATGTATTTGTTTTAAACATGAGCTGGTTAAAAATGGAGGAAGACCATGTTCCTTCAGTCACTGGTATACGCAGCAGGTTAGGAGAGCATTTTCGCTAACCCTAACCCCATTTCCAAACCTTAACCTAACTCTCCTAACCTGCTGCGTATACCAGTGACTGAAGGAACATGGTCTTCCTCCATTTTTAACCAGCTCATGTTTAAAACAAATACATGTTAAGACATCACTGGAGTCTGGAGATACAACTCACCACTATAACTGGGCCTCTGAGTCTGTTTTCTCCCTGTCGTGCTGTCTGTCTATGCATCTCTGCTGTCACTGTCTCTCTGTCTGTGATTCTCCTTGTTCTCCTCTGCTGTCACTCTGTCTGTCTGTCTGTCTGTCTGTCTGTCTGTCTGTCTGTCTGTCTGTCTGTCTGTCTGTCTGTCTGTCTGTCTGTCTGTCTGTCTGTCTGTCTGTCTGTCTGTCTGTGTTTCTTCTTCTTCTCCTCTGCTGTCTCTCTGCCCTCCCTACCCTTTTGTCAGCTGGCATCACAGCAGTTCTTCTCTGCCACCCTGTGGCATTCCTTGATGAGCCCAATGGTCTGATATGTTAGTCTATGCTGTTATGCTATGAGGATACAGTGCATTCGGAAAGTATTCAGACCCCTTGACTTTTTCCACATTTTGTTACTTTACAGCCGTATTCTAAAATTGATTAAATAATTTTTTAACTCATCAATCTACACACAATACCCCATAATGGCAAAGCAAAAACAGTTTTTTAGAAATGTTTGCAAAAAAAAAACTGAAATATAACATTTACATAAGTATTCAGACACTTTACTTCTTTATGCACCTTTGGCAGCGATTACAGCCTCGAGTCTTCTTGGGTATGACACTACAAGCTTGGCACACCTGTGTTTGGGGAGGTTCTCCCATTCTTCTCTGCAGATCCTCTCAAGCTCTGTCAGGTTGGATGGGGAGCGTCGCTGCATCTATTTTCAGGTCTCTCCAGAGATGTTTGATCGGGTTGAAGTCCGGGCTCTGGCTGGGGCACTCTAGGATATTCAGAGACTTGTCCCGAAGCCACTCTTGCGTTGCCTTGGCTGTGTGCTTAGGGTCGTTGTCCTGTTGGAAGGTGAACCTTCGCCCCAGTCTAAGGTCCTGAGCGCTCTGGAGCAGGTTTTCATCAAGGATCTCTCTGTACTTTGCTCCATTCATCTTTCCCTCGATCCTGACTAGTCTCCCAGTCCCTTCCGCTGAAAAACATCCCCACAGCATGATGCTGCCACTACCATGCTTTACCGTAGGGATGGTGCCAGGTTTCCTCCAGACTTGACGCTTGGCATTCAGACCAAAGAGTTCAATCTTGGTTTCATCAGACCAGATAATCTTGTTTCTCATGGTCTGAGAGTCTTTAGGTGCCTTTTGGCAAACTCCAAGCGGGCTGTCATGTGCCTTTTACTGAGGAGTGGCTTCCGTCTGGCCACTCTACCATAAAGGCCTGATTGATGGAGTGCTGCAGAGATGGTTGTCCTTCTGGAAGGTTCTCCCATCTCCACAGAGGAACTCTAGAACTCTGTCAGAGTGACCATCCGCCCTTCTCCCCCGATCTAGGAAGAGTCTTGGTGGTTCCAAACTTCATCCATTTAAGAATGATGGAGGCCACTGTGTTCTTGGGGACCTTCAATGCTGCAGAAAATGCTCTCCTAACCTGCTACAAAAACTTCCGGTCATAGCTGTATCAAGTGTCAAAGATGGCAGCATTCTCTAATAACTACTTGCCTAATTCTGTTTCATACTTCTCAAAGTTGATAACTCGCTTATTTGTATTTTTTTTGTCAGTGATTCAATTCAGTAAGATATCATAATTTACCAATTGAAAGGAATATATTGACATCTATTAAAATACATTAATTCTACAGGTCAGTTCATCTCGATACTTCAAAACTCCTAAGAACTTCACAAATCCAGTGTGTGGGTCTTCCAGTGACTTGGAGAGGATTGAGGAACCATGGAACCGTTTGAACGCTTGATATGGACTGTAAGTGAAACATTTCTGATTAGCACATTTTGTGGCTTGGCATGTTTAAAATAACATTTGATCAATGTATATATTTCCTCTATGAAATATAAATCAGAGTTACTATTAGCCTATTAGTTCTGTCCATTTTACTGAAACCTTGTAGAACAAACGTGGTGGAGAGAAGTACATTTTCTCTAGGTCAGTGTTTCCCAAACTCGGTCCTGGAGACCCTAATGGGTGCACGTTTTGGTTGTCTCCCTAGCACCACACAGCTGATTCAAATAATGAACTCATCATCAAGCTTTGATTATTTGAGTCAGCTGTGTAGTGCTAGGGAGACAACCAAAACGTGCACCCCTTGGGGTCCCAGGACCGAGTTTGGGAAACACTGACCTAGGTTATCTAGGGTTTGGTGTCACACCTTTAAAGACAAAATAAAAACACACCAGGGGGTGCCACCACACTCACAAAAGCCTGTTTAAAATGGTCCCACATAATTACAATAATTGTATTTAATGTGAATATTTGGGTTAGAATTTGATTAACTACTTCTGTACGTTTTATGAATACACACCATCAGATTAGATTTGTGCAAAAAAAAATCTAAAATGTTCTCTACTTCCAGGTACCTATTATATTGGTGCTTGTAAGCATTGGATCCTGTATTGCATGTGGTAGAGCCGAGTACAGAATAGGGGATGAATGTTGTCCCATGTGTTCACAAGGTAAGGACTGTCTCTTTACATCATATGAATCACCAGACATTAATACATCATCAACACCAACAGAAAAACATGACATTGTGATTCTCTCTTCTGCAGGAAATCGTGTACATAAGCATTGTACTGAATTCACCAGCACCAGCTGTGTGCCCTGTGTTGATTCTACATTCCTTGATGAGCCCAATGGTCTCATAAAATGCAAAGTGTGTACCAACTGTGATCCAGGTAAGAGTGGTCCTATGTGTCTGCACTGAAACCCTGACACAAACACTGATATGTTGGTCTATGCTGTTATGCTATGAGGATACAGTGCATTCGGAAAGTATTCAGACCCCTTGACTTTTTCCACATTTTGTTACTTTACAGCCGTATTCTAAAGTTGATTAAATAATTTTTTTCACTCATCAATCTACACACAATACCCCATAATGGCAAAGCAAAAACAGGTTTTTAGAAATGTTTGCAAAAAAAAAAAAAAAAAAAAAAAATGAAATATAACATTTACATAAGTATTCAGACACTTTACTTCTTTATGCACCTTTGGCAGCGATTACAGCCTCGAGTCTTCTTGGGTATGACACTACAAGCTTGGCACACCTGTGTTTGGAGAGTTTCTCCCATTCTTCTCTGCAGATCCTCTCAAGCTCTGTCAGGTTGGATGGGGAGCGTCGCTGCACATCTATTTTCAGGTCTCTCCAGAGATGTTTGATCGGGTTCAAGTCCGGGCTCTGGTTGGTTCAGTCAAGGACATTCAGAGACTTGTCCCGAAGCCACTCTTGCGTTGCCTTGGCTGTGTGCTTAGGGTCGTTGTCCTGTTGGAAGGTGAACCTTCGCCCCAGTCTGAGGTCCTGAGCGCTCTGGAGCAGGTTTTCATCAAGGATCTCTCTGTATTTTGCTCCGTTCATCTTTCCCTCGATCCTGACTAGTCTCCCAGTCCCTTCCGCTGAAAAACATCCCCACAGCATGATGCTGCCACTACCATGCTTTACCGTAGGGATGGTGCCAGGTTTCCTCCAGACTTGACGCTTGGCATTCAGACCAAAGAGTTCAATCTTGGTTTCATCAGACCAGATAATCTTGTTTCTCATGGTCTGAGAGTCTTTAGGTGCCTTTTGGCAAACTCCAAGCGGGCTGTCATGTGCCTTTTACTGAGGAGTGGCTTCCGTCTGGCCACTCTACCATAAAGGCCTGATTGATGGAGTGCTGCAGAGATGGTTGTCCTTCTGGAAGGTTCTCCCATCTCCACAGAGGAACTCTAGAACTCTGTCAGAGTGACCATCCGCCCTTCTCCCCCGATCTAGGAAGAGTCTTGGTGGTTCCAAACTTCATCCATTTAAGAATGATGGAGGCCACTGTGTTCTTGGGGACCTTCAATGCTGCAGAAATGTTTTGGTACCCTTCCCCAGATCTGTGCCTTGACAAAATCCTGTCTCGGAGCTCTACGGACAATTCCTTCGACCTCATGGCTTGGTTTTTGCTCTCACATGCACTGTCAAATGTGGGACCTTATATAGACAGGTGTACCTTTCCAAAATGTCAAATTAATTGAATTTACCACGGGTGGACTCCAATCAAGTTGTAGAAACATCTCAAGGATGATCAGTGGAAACAGGATGCACCTGAGCTCCATTTCCAGTATCATAGCAAAGGGTCTGAATACTTATGTAAATAAGACATTTCAGTTTTTTTATTTTTAATAAGTAAAAACCTGTTTTCCCATTGTCATTATGGGGTATAGTGTGTAGATTGATGAGGGGGGAAAAAATATTAAATGAATTTTAGAATAAGGCTGTAACGTAACAAAATGTGGAAAAAAGTCAAGGGGTCTGAATACCTTCCGAATGCACTATACGTCAGTTGTATCTGCATCAGATAATACATGCCATGTTTTCTCCATAGGTTTGGGTTTGAAGGTAAAGCAGCCATGTAGACCTTCATCAGACACTGTCTGTGGGACACTGGAGGGGTTCTACTGTCTAGACCCAACTAAGGATGGTTGTAGAGCAGCCCAGAGACACAGCAGCTGTAAACCTGGTCAATACATCAGCCACACAGGTTGGTCTCCTGTCTCACTCATAAAACGAATTGTGTTGTCATAATTAAATTGAGTCAAGTTGTTAACTTCAGTGTGAATAATCATTACAGTGAATGGAATTAAATAAAAATGAATTTTTCATTAACGTTTCAACATGTATTTATGCAGGAACAACATCTACAGATACTGTGTGTGTTGACTGCCCTGGTAAAACGTATTCAGATGGATCATTAACATCTTGTCAACCACACACAGAGTAAGTGTGGACATGATTAGTTAGTTCAAATGGTTATCCCCCTGAAGATATAAAAATACAATCATTATTATGCTCAAATATAAAAAAAAAAAACTATATTTATGTCTTTGACATAGATGTGAATTCTTGGAAATTGAACCAGGAACTCCTTGGTCGGATTCAGAATGCGGAGTAAACTCACTTCCCACAGCTGGAATCATAGCTGGTGTTCTGATATGTTTCCTGATAGGCACCATAGCTGGTGTTTGTTTATTTATAGTGAGAAAAAGAGAGAACTTAGGTAAGATTACTGGAATTTTATCTGTACCATTCATTGTTTTCAATGCCTGTGATACTCAGTATACTCTGTAAATGCTACATGTTCTACTTCTCATAGTGTAGATTACTGTTTGTTAACGTCATGGTTACACAGTATGTTTATTACAATATTGGACATCTGACTTTTTTATAGGCCCTCAAATACTGACACAGGTATGTTTGGAAATCTATGAATATCTTTCATAACATTGTATTACTAAGTCATCTTTTTAGCTGTGAAATTTGAATTTAATGGGCCAGTTTCCCATACAATAGACCTCCATTGAATGTGCGTCTTTGTCCAGGACTGGGCTTAATCTCTGTCCAGGAAACCGGCCCAATGTGGTTTACTAATTACGGATTCTGTCTGATAGACATCCCCAGATCAGGATATATCAATGCTGTCTGAGGGAACTGGAAAAGGTAAGGCACACCTTCAAGGTTTTCTAAATATGTTTACGGAATAGTTTTTATGAGTTAAAAGAATTTCAAACATATTTCTAAATAAATGTATATGGTATATTACTTCATCAAGTCATCAATGCTAAGACACATGATATGATCCAAGAATATAGGACTCTGGATACAAGCAATGATACTACAAATCAGTGTCCAGAATATAAATGAATTACTGAAAGATTACTAATGAATTCTCTCCCCAGATTCAAGCCTCCATCACAGTCAGGGACTCAACATTCTGTAAGCTGTGGTCCACTGGCTGGCTGGTCCAGCCATCTATAGTGTATTTTAACACTACATGTTAAATGTGGTATTGTAGAATCTGGTTGGTATAAAAACAGAATTCTACAGCACATTCAATTGTAGTCTAAAGAAATGAAAAACACTTTGAAACCCAACCTCCAGTAGGAAGAATATGACCTATGGGTAGAGGATCACTGTGCCTTGACAATGACTATTATGTGGCTTAGTGTATGAATCATATATTAGCTTCCACCCACACTGGAACATGTGTATCAGCTTCTGCCTACAGCCTGTTCTAAAATGAAAAGGACCATGTGATGAGTATTAGGAACCAGCATCGGTAGGTGAGAACCCTCTGCTCTGTCCAGGGGAAAGTCAAATATGTTCATAACTTCAGGACCACAACGTCTGTCATCCCATACTATGGAACTCCAAATGGGACTTGATAATATCTTGAGACACAGATTACGAATTAACTTTTAAGAAGGCACACCTGTTAATTGAAATGCATTCCAGGTGACTACCTCATGAAGCTGGTTGAGAGCATGCCAAGAGTGTGCAAAGCTGTCATCAAGGCAAAGGGTGGCTATTTGAAGAATATCAAATATAAAATATATTTTGATTTGTTTAACACTTTTTGGGTTACTACATAATTCCATATGTGTTATTTCATAGTTTTGATGTCTTCATTATTATTCTACAATGTAGAAAATAGTAAAATTAAAATAAAGAAAAACCCTTGAATGAGTAGGTGTGTCCAAACTTTTGACTGGTACTGTAGGTCAGAGTAAGTATTGTAGAAGAGTGCAGGTCCACTCAGTCACCTGTGGTGTCCCCCACCCTGGTCATCCTCTCCGTACTTCCTCTCAGTTATGTTAATCAGGTGTTCTTCCACAGTTTTTCGGATGACATGCATGTCTACATCTAAACGGCCCCAAATCCCTTAAAGTACAGGCTTGGTTGAAGCTCTACATTCTACATGTGAGCAGAAGCAAAACTGAAGTCATACTTTGTTGCCACCCCACAGCCTGATTAGCCAGGAATATTCCAGAATGTATTATATTATATCTGCTCCAAACAGCTATAAAGTGCCTTTCTGTATGCTGTCCTCTCTCTGTTCTGGACTGATGATTGTCCTTCTTTATTTTATTTACCCATAGTCCAAAATAAGTTCCCAAACATGTGGATTGACTTCAAATTAAATGGACACAGCCCTTAGCCGTGGTATATTGGCCATATACCACAAACCCCCGAGGTGCCTTATTGCTATTATAAACTGGTTACCAACGTAATTAGAGCTGTAAAAATAAATGTTTTGTCATACCCGTGGTATACCACGGCTGCCAGCCAATCAGCATCCATGGCTCGAACCACCCAGTTTATAATTTTCAATAATCAATGGGTATATATAATTAATTTAGAAGTCAAAAACTTGATATAGCAACTGCCGATTGCCCCTTTAAGATATCAACGGCAAACTAACTTTAAATTGTATGAAAATCTGTTGATATTGGCCTACCCCCTTGGGAAGAATATGCAACTTCACTGACTATTGGATTTACAGCCTACCTGTCCTCAAAATGTTTAGTTATCACACTTACTATGTCCCAGTTAAACTGAAGAGTGTAACGTTCTGTATTTTTATTTTCTTAGTCAACCTTGTGTTCTTGAACGTAGCCCTGTTTCTTTGTGTTCTTGAACGTAGCCCTGTCTTTCATTTTTGTTCATTGATTTCACCTGTGTTAGTTACTCACCTGGTCTCATCAGCTCCTTATTTAGCTCATTTCTTTCTGTTTGTGCCTTGTGAGGTGTTGTTCGTTTTGACTCTACTAAGCCTTTTCCTAGCTCGTTTGTGAGAACCAGTTATAGTCTTCAGTCCTAGTTTTTGATTCTCCTGCCTGTTTGCCTACCTGCGTATGACCATTGCCTGCCTGTGACCACGATTCCTGCCTTCTGCGAAGGCGAAATAAACACCTGCCACGCTCTGAGCGTGAAGCTACACCTTTTTCTCCCTGAGTATTCATTACAAAGAGGCTAGTTGACTAGAGGAGAAATGTAACAGCTGGTTACAAAGAGATAATTATATTTTTGGCACCATGTTTGTCCATCACAGTCTTTATCAGACTTCACTACATAACTACAGGTTTCGCTACAATCTTTTGTATCCCCAACTGTTTACAGAAATATGAGGTAGGCCATAAGATACACTAGAACTTCTGCTGTGACTTCAAAATCACCAAATGACCTGGGAAGCATTATCCAGCAAGTTCTTTACAGAACTTTACATTTATTTTGAATAAACACATGGATAAGACTGTTCTATTCTCTTTGATTTAGTTCTTATTGCAACTCAGACAAATGACAGAATGGATGACATACTGACTGACAACTGAATGAAGGATGAATTAAATGTTCAAATATGTTGGAATGCCGAGTTGCACGCATCATGCATGCTCTGCACTTTATTTGTCTAGTAGGCAAATAGGCCTACATTAGGGTATAATGACTCTATGACTGCATGCCTCCAGAAGGGCATCTTCTGAGGCTGAGGGGTGCTTTTCTGAAGGCGCATGGTGCTGTGGTGCTGCATGGAGATCACAAGCTCTTCAACAGAGCAGCAGTGTCGCGATGGAGGGAATAGCCTATACGGAGACTACCTAAGACCACTGCAACAGAGTTATTGTAAAGTGTGGGAATAAGCTTATGCCAGACTTAGTCTACGTTTAACCTCTCCCTTGTTCATTTCAAAGTCCATATGTTCATGACTCCATTTATGTAAATCATGTCAAATTATTTTACATTCATATTAACCCCTCCTACAGAATATGCTTTGGCAAGATTTTGAGTGATGAAATACATTTCTAAATATTCTGTTGAAAGAATTATAAGACTCCAGTGGTCATACATAATTCATAGATTCACCAAACATCTATTATTATTCTGTTTCATTATTCCAGGTAGATACTACTGGTTATGATTGCAGACAGAGCCTAGAGAATGGGATGGTGCAATACTGAATATGTCATATTTTGACAAGGTGCATGCATGGGGATGTCCACATCACCCAGAGATATGCCCATGCTATAGAGATACACCTAGCAGACTGAAACTTCACTGTTGTAGGCATAATACAGCTAGTGCTATCTAGACTTGCGCTGGCAAACAAATCCATTACATTAACTACCTAACACATGGCTTTTCTCACGATCCTAACAATTTACGTATGGATTTTCTTACGAACCTAATGTTACGCACGTTCAACCTGTTGGCAGCTATCTGGCTCCATATAACACAGTCACCAGCTCTGCAGCCCGAATAACAGAATAACCTCCTACATGTTTCTACTGTGTTCACTTTAAGTTGTCTAGTTTTGTTAATTTGTTAATTTGTTATTTAATCTGAAGTTAATTCATGCCAGTTTTAGTATACATTTTACAGCAGGTTATCGTTCAATCAGAGATGATCTTTTTTAGTTTCAATTTTAGTCAAAGTTTATATGTAAAAGTAATTTAAGATAGGGAACTTTTATGCAACTTAAAATATGCCATTATAGTGCTACTGTGGTAATTATGGCTGTATAAACATGAACTCAAAGGTAAAAACTTGTTGTTGAGTATTATGTAGCCTAAAACAATACCTTCATAGCACTCTGACAGGGGATTTCTGCTTTCTGGATTGCTATAGCGATCAACCGTAGGCGAATCAAGCATTCCATCACTTTCAGCGGAAATCCCCTGTCAGAGTGCTATGAAGGTATTGTTTTACGTTACATTATGTGGGTGTTTCTTTCCAGCAGCAAACCCATAGCTTGCTAGGTAATGAATGTATCAACAGCTAATCCAGCATGGACTGAAATATATATGAAGCCTCCATTGCGCTGGGATTTCACAGGGAATTTGTATATAGTTCAGCTTTCCACAACTTTATGCACGCTCTGTTTACTGAGCTCCTGACGCCTAGTTCAGTTCAGGCAATATGTGTAGAATTGCAGGAAATTAGATTGGAAACAGCAACATTTTCTCTCAGCTTCATGGCAAAATGTGTTGAATAGTATGAGACTAGCTATATCCTGCTCAGACCTTGCGAAGGGCCTCGCGAAACTGCGGTACACCACTGTTAATCAAAAACACAGATATTTTAAGAAACAATTATTAAAATCTAACCGCAATACAGCATGCTGGGAAATATAATAACAATGGGCGTGGTTTTGCCAGCAAAATTCTGATTACTTGGGGTCAACCTCACTTTAAATTTAAACTCACAACCTCTCGGTCCCTGCAAGGCCTCCCCCCCACAAGCTTTGGTCTCCAGTGAAAACACAACAACGGCTGGTCTCCAGACCATCCCTTAATGAAAAAACAGGCAGTGTCTACCTTCCAATCCATAACATACACTGAGTGTACAAAACATTAAGAACACCTACCTAATATTGAGTTGCACCCCCCAAAGTGCCTTTGAACGGGGTATGATAGTAGGTGCCAGGCGCACCGGTTTGTGTCAAGAACTGCAACGCTGATGGGTTTTTCACGCTCAACAGTTTGCCATGTGTATCGAGAATGGTCCACTACCCAAAGGACATCCAGCCAACTGGACACAACTGTTGGAAGCATTGGAGTCAACATGGGCCAGCATCCCTGTGGAACGCTTTCGACACGTTTTAGAGTCCATACCCCTATTTGTATTTATTATGGATCCCCATTCGTTCCTGCCAAGGCAGCAGCTACTCTTCCTGGGGTCCAGCAAAATTAAGGCAGTTTATACAATTTGTTTATATAAATTGTTATTACCGAGCATGTTTATATTCTGTAGGCTTTAGGCGACTGAAGACCAGGTTCTGTTTGCTCCTAGCAGAACTCGGCATAAATGCGCTCGCATACTCCTTTAGCCATATTGACTAAAAAGAGAAGACGTTTAACCATCTGAGTTATTGTTAAACATTTTCTCTTTTTAGTCAATGTATGACTACTGTAGGCTATTCCTGTTGTATAGTTCATAGCATGTTGGCTATACATCCATTATTCTTTCTATAAAAAATTGC